AGAATACTTGACAGTGGTAAGTGTAATACAGATAACAAAACAAATAAGCCCCAAAATAGCCAGCTATGGTAGCACATGTCTTTAATCCCAGCGCAGGCAAGCAGATCTCTGTCAGTTCAAGGCCAGCCTGGGGCTACAAGGAGACCCTGTCTCAAAAAAGCCAAAAAAAAAAGAGCCCCCAAAATGGGATTAAAGTGAGAGAAGATTCCCACAGACCTGGGGCTATTTAGACAATCAGGAGGCAAATACTACTCAGGCTGCTATGGAGTGCCAAAGGATCTAGAAAAAGAACACAATCAGATGACAAAGTACTTTCATACACAGGGGTCAAAAGTCAGGGAGCAGACCAATTAGCCAGGAGTCTCTGGGAGGAATCACTGTTCATGTAGGTAGGCAACGTTTCCTTCTAGGAGCTTCCTGGAGATTCTGAACTGACAGGAGCAATCAAACTAGACAGTTCATCTTGGCTATATCTTATTACATTTAATTGTTTGTTTGATACGTGTGTGTATATAGGCATACGTGGAGGACAGAGGACAATTTGCAGAAGTTAGTTCTCTACTACCATGCAGGTTCTGTGGATTGAACTCAGGCCATCAAGCTCATTGGCAAACTCCTTTACCCATTGAGCCATCTTGGCTATATTTTAATGGTCTGAGTATAAAGTCTTAAGTTCATTATTAATTTGGGGATGGAGTGAGATAGTATCTTATGTAGCCCAGGCTGGCCTCCAACTCACTAGGTAGCTAATGCTGGCCTTGAACACCTGATCCTCCTGTCTCTACTTCCTAAGTGTAAAATGCTATGTTCTTTAAACTCGTCATTTTTGTTTCTTGGCTTCTCAGCAAAAGTCCTTTTGTTAATCTCAATGCTTGACCTAGAAGGATCTATGTAAATGGAGTTGGAGGCAAAAAATCATTTTACTAGAAAAATAGAACTTTACAACAAAAATCACAGTCCCAAGCTGGGCATGGTGGCATGGGCCTTTAATCCCAGCACTTAGGAGGCAGAGACAGGTGCATCTCTATGAGATGGAGGCCAGCTTGGTCTACATAATGAATTCCAGGCCAGCCAGACTACATAGAGAGACCCTGTCTCAAAAACAAACAAACAAACAAAAACAAAATTACAACCTTAGGGACTGGAGAGATGGCTAAGCAATTAAGAGCACATACTGCTCTTACAGAGGACCTGAGTTCATTTCTTGGTGCCCTTGTCAAGTAACTCACAACCACCTGTAATTCCAGCTCCAGGGGTATCTGATGCCTCTGGCCTCCAAGGGCACCTGGACTCATGTGCACATGCCCACACACAGACAAACACATCCATATAATTAAAAACAATTTTTAAAAAGTCAGAACCCTCCTCAGCTCCAAAAAAAAGTCAGAACCTGGGCTCGAGAGATAGCACAGCAGTTAAGAACACTGTTCTTGCAGAAGACCTGGGCTCGAATCCCAGCACCCACATGGCAACTAACAACTGTCCGTAACTCCAGTTCCAGGGAATCCGGCAGTCTCTTCTGTCCTCTGCAGGCATTGCACGACATGGGTGCACTTACCTACATGCAGGCAATACACTCATACACATAAAATAAAAATAATAAAATATTTTTTAAAAAACCAGAAATCTTGAGTAATTTGAGCAAAGAAAATGTAGCAGGGGTGGTTAATGAGATCAACCTCTAGGGGGCAGTAGAATCTAACTGCTGACTGACTGCACCAGTAGATCAGAAAGTAATAACCTGCTGGGAAATAAATACCCAATATTATGCCAAACTCATGCTATAGAAGGGACACCGGTGATAGGAAGGAGGACCCGAAAAGATTCTAAGTTGGGAAAGAAAATAGTTATTGTTAGAAAATCTTAGATCGGCATGGACCCGGGCGACATGAAAATCGAAGAGGAGATTGACCTCAGGAGCAGACTGTTCTTCACTAGAACGATGAAGGGCCACAGTTTCCCCACGGGATGGAAACTGGGCACTAGGGCCACAGTTGGTGTAGAATTTAAAAGGATTTGGAAAGAAGGAAATGGGGGTTATTTTTGTAGTTCTGTTTTTCAGTGATTTGAAGACTTGAGACACTGTGGTTGCTGATGTTACAGTTTAGAGGTTTGGGACAATAAGGACTGGCAAATGTTTTCCAGGATAATACAGTCTCCAAGTTGGGGGTTTCTCAACTTAGCTGGGTCTGACGAGAGGTTTATTTAACCTAGCTTGGAGTCCATTTATCCTTCAGTTATGGGTGCCAATCAATAACAAGCAGGAGCTCTCTGCACACAGGGAAAGGGAACAGCACCTCTGAGACCATAGAGATGGAAAATGGAAAGCACACATTTCCCATGTTAAAGTTCTACATGAGCACACAAAAAGACTGCAGCAGGGGTAAGATCGCCACAGCATGCAGAAACAACTAGGCCCAAACCAGATCAAACTTGTTGTAAAGATTTCTAATGACTGACAGTGTGGCTCATGACTCAGTGAGGGGTTGTGGGGAATGGCTTGCCTAACATTGGTGAAGCCCTGGATTCCCTCCCTAACAACACAAAGAATAAAGAGAGGAGACTTTATGAAAAGACATTATTCTGGACAGCACCAGTTGTCAATTTGACACACCTGGGAAGAGGAAACCTCAATTGGAGAATTTCCTCTATCAGATTGACCTGTGGGCACATCTGTGAGGCATTGTCTTGATTGCTGAGTGATGGGGGAGGACCCAGTCCACAGTGGGTGCTGCCACCCTTGGGCAGGTAGTCCTGGGCTATATAAGAAAGCAGGCTGAGCACAGGCCAAAGGGACAAGCCAGTTCCTCCATGGCCTGTGCTTCAGCTCCTGCCTCCAGGTTCCTGCCCTGAGCTCCTGCCTTGGCTTTCCTTGATGATGGACTGTGAGCTGTTGGCTGAATAAACCCTTCCCTCCCCAAGTTGACTTGAGTCAGTGTTTTTTCACAGCAACAGCTATCATTTTAAAGACTGAGTTACTGTTCAAGGAAAATGCCAAGTGTTAGCATATTTTTACCTTTGACATTTAATATTGCCTTAAGAAAACTAACTACTTTATAAATTACCTTATTACCTTTACCTCATAATTTGTTTTAAAGATGATGGAAATGAATAGTCGGGGTTTTTTGGTTTTTGGTTTTTTTTTTCCTTTTTATTAAATACACTCCCTTTTCTTAAAAAAAAATTTATTTGTGTGTATGTGTTTGTATATGTGCGTGTGTGTGCTGGGAACTGAATGCATTAGCCCAACCACTGAGCTACACCTCCAGTCTCATTTTCTTAGTACTTGAGCTACAAAGCTACTTGGTATCGCTTCTGAGAACATCTTGAGGTCTGCAAAGTGTCTTCTAAAGCAAACCAAATGTAACCATCTCTCAGGAGAGCTACCCTGTAACTTGTGGATCTAAAGGCTGACAGCTAGCCATCCCTGCGGCTCCTACACTGGTGGGACAGGAGTGTGGGGGCTGATGCCTGAGGCTGGTACCTCCTTCCTGCGTGCAGCCCGTGACCTAAGGGTTCTGCTCCACCTCCTCTTTACTCTCTGTCTTCCCAGCTCTTCTCAACCTTTCCCTCCTCCCAGCTAAATTCTTACCTTGTCATTCACTGGAATAAAGTTGCTGTTCATGGTGACAATTCGGAAAAACACTAGAAGGAAACAGCCACATTAGCAAAGCCTGCTTTTCCCTCTCAGAACCTTCCTTCTGTCTGTGCTCTTGCCTCACACATACTCCTGAATCAGCAAAATCCCATCAGGTACCGGGAAGGCGTTTGCTTTTCTAATCTGAGAGAAAGACGAAAACCCAAGATGGCTCCTGACTGAGAGCAGAGTAGAATGTCCTCCAGGGAAGAACGAACAAGAGCAGAGACAGTGACTCCAGTCAAACACCCTTGACACATTTTCATCCATGAACTCGATTACACATAACTCACTACATTCTCGGAGATACTGAACTTTTGTTTTAGACACCCAGAAACAGACTCCACCCCAACACCCTTGTTGACTGAACAAGGATCATAGTCAAACCAAGAATGCTTAATCCCCAGATTTACCTGACTTCTGACTTCTTGTTCCTTAAGGCTGCTACCAAAACCACAGATCTCCTCTACCACTCAGCGAGCATGTTTTACCTTGCTGTCCTGGGGTGTAGACAGGTTTGTCAGTCTGCACAAACGTGCCGCTTCCTTGCCTCTGAATCAGAACCTTTTTCTCCTCTTCAAAGCTGAGATTATTTCTGACTCCTGACACTCGGATTGTGGCCACTTCCTCTGTGCCACCAGCGGGTGGGGGGACCTGGGCAGGAGAGGGGAGGTCTGAGGAGGCCTAGGAAACTGAAGAAACAGAATCAACTGGTCTCAACCCAGAAAGCAAATGCACTAACTGAGTCAGATAGAGGTGTCAAGGGAAGACTCCTAAAACAAGATCCTGAAGAAGGGGTGCGGTATTATCAGGGGATCAGGTTCGGAACTGGAAGAAGAGATGCACGGTCAAGGGAAGTGTGAGTGAGTTACCATGAGGAACTGAAGTTTAAGAGAGACCAGATTAGAGACCCAGCAAAAGAACTCTAGAGAAATCACACTTAAAGGTAAAATGTGCTGAGCAGCAAGAACAACAGGGAAAGCAAGGGATTAGTTTTAGGGCGTCGTCAACGCTTACTAAAAATGAGATGCAATGCAAGTGTTCCTTCTTCAATCCAGAATGTTCTAGCAATTTCTGTGTCTTGTCCTTTGTTTCCAGGGTAATAGTGAGTTTTACATCACAATTCCCAGGGCTGAGATCCAAACAAACCTTCTGAGTGGAAGGGAAGGCAAGCTGAGCAGGTAATGTTACCAAGTAATTTCTATTAAGGAGACAAAAGAATGTCAGAGCAGATGATTCATTTATTCAATGGAAAGCTAAGCACTTTTCTCAGAAGCACCTGGCACACAGCAGAGAGTTAAGCAGCCCAAACTCCTGCCTTTCTTTATAGACCTTACTTTCTTTAAAAAAAAATATATATATTATCTTTATTTTATGTGTATGAGTGTATCACCTGCATGCATGTAAGTGCACCCATGTAGTATAATCCCCACAAAGGTCAGAATAGGGCATCAGATCCCCTGTGGGTGCTGGGAACCAAACCCGGGTCCTCTGCAAGAACTGCCAGTGCTCTTGACCACTGAGCCATCTCTTCAGCCCCTATAACTTTACTTTCGATAAAGGAGCCACATATAAGTAACACATCATTCAGTGCATGGCCCTAAACCTCCCCACTTCCCCAGGGGCCACCACTGAGAACACATGACTCGAGTACAAGGGGGAAATTAGGTCTGTCACAGGGAGCAGAGTATAAGGAGTCTAGGCATTTTAATATTATCTTTTTTGTTAAACTCATTGTTAACATTTTAGCTTTTCACTCTAGAAAAAGAATCAAGAAGGAAAAGATGAGAAATAAATTAAATCACAAATCTGTCTTCCCTTCTCCACATTTATGCTTGAGAAGACAGGAAAGGAAGGCACCAGCCCCAAATCAACCCTGACAGCCAGTACTCACGGAAAGACTTCCTCTGCTGCTACGCACAGTAGGGCCAAGGTTCCCAGCAGGAGTGGAACCCACATCGCTGAGGGTGGCAGACTGATTCTCCAAGATGAAGAATCTGGAGCTCAGCCTCCCTTCTGTTCCCTCTTAAATCCTAAACAGCCAGGTAGGGGGTGCCTAGAGGATGGATGCTCTGGCCAATCAGCTACCTACCATGCCTTAGGCTAAGGAGGTAGAGTAGGGTAGGCTGCTTCTCCCTTCCTCAACTTTCTTCCTCTCTAGCACATTCTTACTGGTCCAGCCAGTCCATAATACTAGTTTTGAGCAAGAGCCAAGGTGAGTATTCATGGAGGTAAAGCTCCAGAACACTCCTCCTTTATTTTCTGGTTTCACTCCAAATTCAATTTCTCCTTTGACCTCTTTTGCTTTTTTAATATTCTAATAAACATACTGGGGAGCACAGGCACTGGGCAGTATCAATTGAAAAGTAGTAAACATAGGTAGATACAATGGATCATACCAGTAAACCCAGCACCTGGAAGGTGGAGGCAGGAAGATCAGGAATTCCAGGCCAGCCTTGGCTGCATAGTGAGTTTGAGGTCAGCTTGGGCTACATGAGACCCTGTTTCAAAAAGGAGAGAAGTGGGGCTGGAGAGGTGGCTCGGTGGTTAACAGTATTTACTGCTATTTCAGAAGACCTAGGTTTGGTTCCCAGTACCCACATCAGGTGGCTTACAACCTCTTGTGGCTCCAGTTCCAGGGCATCTGATGCCCTCTCTGGCCTTTCACAGGCACCTTATGTATGTGGTGCACATAAACTCATGTAGACATGAATTCACACACACATAAATAAAAATAAGCAAATAAATCTTTTTAGAGAAAGAAAAAAGGAGAAGAGGAAGAGAGGAAGGGAGGGAGGGATGCAGTAAACCTCTAATTAGGAACTTCCTTTTTTCTTTTGAGATGCCTGGTACACGTGGTACTGGGGATCAGACTCGGGGCTCTGTACATGCTAAACAATCACTTTACCAACTAAGCTAGCTACATTCCCCAGCCCCTAACTAGAAAAACTTAAAATATCAGTGCTGTTTAGTATTATTGTGACTATGTGAAAATAGGACAAATATAAGTCTAGAGGAAAAAATTAATTAGACAGCCCTTACAACAGCATCATCTCAATGCACAGCAAAAGCCTTTAAGACGTGGGTATTTTTTGCCCCAGCACCACCTACTCTGGAAATGCATCTTAATGTGGGAATGAGCTGAAGTAGGCACCTTGTTTCTCCTTTCTGTTGTAATACAGGACATTGAGTCATCTGGACTACAGATTAGTGAGAATGATTCCCTGGACTAATGACCAATCCATATAGAAACAAACCAAAACAGGCTTCCAGTGACTGGAATACCTCAGATGAAAGGAAGAATGGAAAGAACCAGAGCAACGCCAGGGACTATGCACGACCTGGAATTACTCTGCCGGCACTCACATTTGCCGGTCTTGGGCTAGCCTAGTGTACAACCCAGGCTTTCCTTCAAGTGGTAGAGAAGATGGCTGCTGAGTCCTCAGTCCATATGCTCCCAGCTCTGTGACTCCAACTGATAAAAGCGTGGCCTCTCCTGTCACATGCTTCCCTCTGATCCAGTCATTGTAGTTGGATGCTGTGATGAGCATGGCCTGGGTCAGCAGCTCAGCCAGAGGGGGGCTGAGGAGGTAACCGTGACTGACCCAGCTAGAACCACATGGGGCTGGCAAGGGAAAACTTCCCATAGAAAGCGGAGACTGCTACTATAGTAGGCAGGTTGTGTAAAGATATGGGAAAACATATTAAGTCTGTACAATGCCCAATAAATAATGCAAGTTCATTGAATAAGTTGTCATCTTAATATAAAACAATATTATATAACTATAAAATGATGCTCCTTGGGCTGTGAGATGGCTCAGCAGATAAGGGTGCTTGCCACCAAGCCAGACAACCTGAGTTTGATCCCTGGAACCCATGTGGTAGAAGGAGAGAACCGACTCCTGCAAGTTTTCCTCTTCTCCATAAATTCACTGTAGCACACACACACACACACACACATCTCCCCCAACACACCACACATGCACTAAATAAATAAATGTAAGAAAATTCAAAACAATGTTTTTAAAATGCTTCTTGGGCCAGGCACGGTGGCACACATGTGTAATCCCATTATTCAGAAGGCTGAGGTAGGAAGATTTCAAATTCAAGATCAGCATGGGCTACACATTGAGACCCTATCTTGAAAGGAAGGAAGGGAAGGAGGGAGGGAAGGAAGGAGGGCACCAAAGTTAATCCCTGCTTCCCAGTCTGCATCTACACACCAGGAGTAGCACCTGGCTATTAGACAATAGCACTTTCTATTTAGAACCAAAAATGGCCCCCATTTTGCACTGTGCACTTTTTTGTTTTGTTTTTGTAGTTTGAGGGAGGGAGGAAGGAAGGAAGGAAGGAAGGAAGGGAGGGAGGGAGGAAGGAAGGAAGGCTGAGCCAGGTACTGGGGCTCACTCCTGTAGTCCCAGTTACAAGAGCTAAATTGTTTGGCCCTAGGAGTTCTAGGCCATCTGGGCAGCATAGTAGGACCGTCACATACCCACAAGTTTCCAGCTAGAGGTTTAACTCAGTGGTAGAGTGTATGCTTTACAAGTGTGAGGCTCTGGTTAATCCCCAGTATCAAAAATAGCGACAATACTGTTTCCCTGCTACAATAAGGCGAGTTGTTTGTGCTACTGAGTGGAACCACCATGTTAATAAGATGCAAAACAACATCATTGATTGAAGTACCAGTTTGGCTTGGAGTCTAAAAATCTTAAGCACTGCTCCCTGCCTGAGAATAAGAAAAACCAAACTCAAGAATCTAGGAACCTAGGAGCTGCTCTGATGTTGAAGATCTTACAAGTAGTCTAAGATCCAAGGTAGTAGAATTCCTAACGAACAGACTGGATGTTGGTCTGCCATCTGTGCCTGGGCACCACACACAAGTGGGCAAGAAGAAGCAGCACTCTTAACGGATAAGGCCTGGAGTCACTGTAAAGAGTCTCCTGCCACCAGAGAAGCAAGGCTCACTTACAGGCTCTGGCCATGGCCTCCGCCAAGTGTCCATGAGAAAGATGGGGGTAGCATGGGGAGTCAGAAAGATCCTCCCTCAGGACCACAGACATTGAAGACAATGTCAGTGTCATGCAGGGAAGGCCCCTGAACCCATGGCGTTCTCTCAGAAGGCCAGCAAAATGATTGTTCCCAGGGCAGAAGTAAAGATCCACTGTTCCAGAGTCAGGCATGGTGGTACATGCTTTTAATCCCAGCACTTGGGAGGCAGAGGCAGAGGCAGGCAGATCTCTGTAAGCTCAAGATCAGCCTGGTCTACATAGTGGCCAGTTGGGACTACAGGGAGACCATGTCTCAAAAAGGCCAAAAAAAGAGATTCGTTCTTCCAGGGAGACAAGATAGAGGGAACTCTATCCCAGGGCGAGGGTCAGGAGACCCTGCAGAGCCCACACCAATCCTTTTAGTGGTCCCCTAAGCTGAAGGAGCACCAGTGCAGCATAAATGCATAAATGCAGGTGTCACGGTATATGCCTATAAGCAATCTCAGCATTCAAGAGGTGGGGGCAGTAGGGTCAGGAGTTCAAGATCTAGTATGTTCAAGCCCAGCCTGAGATCCATGAGACCCTGTCTCTAAATAATAACAAATATATGTTTGAAGAGTGAGAATCTTCAAACATAGTCAAAGACATCAAATAAATTCCAGAATTATACAGACACCCAAAGATAAATATAAAAATAAAATAGACCTTACACACATATTCAGACGGCTATAGATGAGAAATAAGAGGAAATGTTGACGATGATCAGGAAAGAGACATACTACACACAGAAACATCAACCTAAGCTTTAGAACCACATCCTCGTGGAAACAACGTGAACAAAAAGATGCATTTGTAACATTAAATGCTGAAAGAAAGGAAACCTGCACATTCCGAATTCTATAAGTTGTAAAATTCTCTTTCTGCTATGAGGAGGGAAGAACGTCTTTTGAGACCGTACAAGATGAGATAATTTATTGCCAACAGACCATGTCATAAGTAATATCAAAGGAAGTTCTTATGACAGAAGACATACAGGGTCTGGCCAGCTATGGGCCTATAGATCAAGCCCAGCCTGCCACCCATTTTCTATGTGAAATTTCCTTGGAGACCAGTAATATGAACTCATCTCTACACCATGTATGACTGTTTTGTGCTACCATAATAGACTTGAGGAATTGCAAGAAGCTGTGTAGGGCTGGGGAGATCACTCGGTATCCAGCAAGGTCTATGTGGAATGCACAGCCAGCTTTATCTGGTCCTTTATGGTTGGCAAATCTCTGGAATAAGATGCCACACAAAATACTGGAAATACTCCTCAGAGGCAGAGTGTGTGCTTAGTGTGCTGGAGGCCCTGGATTTGAACCCCAACGTGGAGAAACAAACAAACAAACAAACAAAAACTTCAATACACACTATGCAAAATAAATGAAGATTTTCAGAAATATCAAATATAACAAATATTTAAACAATTCTTTTTAATATTTTATGTATTATTTTTATGTGTATTGCGTGTATTGCCTGTATGCCTTTAAGTGCACCAGTGTCATGCAATGCCCACCGAGGTCAGAAGAGGGAGCCAGATCCCCTGGAACTGGAACTACAGACCAATGTTAGCTGCCATGTGGGTACTGGGAACCAAATCTGGGTCCTCTGCAAGAGCAGCCAGTCCTCTTAACCACTGAGCCATCTCTTCAGTCCCTTAAAACTATTCTTAATCACTCTAAAAAAATACTAGATAACTCCTAGAGCAAAAAAAAAAAAAAAAAAAAACAAACTCATTCTGATCCATACTGTATAGATTAGACAGTTTTAAAAAATTTTTTAAATGTGTGTATGAGTGTATTGCCGCGTGTGTGTAAGTGCACCTGTGCCATGCAATGCCGATGGAGGTCAGAAGAAAGCATCAAATTCCCCTGGAACTGGAGTTGTTAGCTGCCATGTGGGTTCTGGGAATCAAACCCAGGTCCTCTC